CTGTGGGTGTTTGATGAGTGTCTGCTCAAGCAAACGGTACTGAAATATTGAGACCAGAGTTCTAGATTTAATGTTTGTGTAGATGAGGTTTAGCTTCCTGTTGTTCCCTAGGCACAGACCATACACCCAAGGTCAAAATCCAACTAAGAAGACATGGACTGCTGGCAAAAAGATCTCAAGTATACATGCCTCACTAAGGATGAGCCTGGGACATTCATGCTGCTTTGCCTGACCATTTCAGGTACCTCAATTCATATTTTATGTCAATTATAACAAGTACATCTTAATTCAATTATTTAATGTGCCCATTTCTATCAATACAAAAGATTTCTAAAATGAAAAGGCCAAGCCCCAACTTAAGAAAGCACCTGGCTAGATATGCATTAGCTTCTCCCAACAACCCAGTACAATTCTTTAAATGAGTCAGAAAAAGATTATGACTCATAACAACACTTCATCTCTATGGATGATTAAACAGGAAAAGAAAACCTCATAGGTTTATGAAAAATTCTACAGCATATAAAAGGAAAACTCAGTGCTCAAGATGCACAAGAAAGTTACCCTTTGAACAAGACTTACCAAATGCAATTTCTGTAAAACATGCATCTACTTTATATTTGCAATAAAAAGAATCAAAGGGGGCCGGCCGAGTGGCGCGATGGTTAAGAACTGGCTTGGGAAGCCAGAGGGCCCCGGTTTGGACCCCACATGTGAGGGCCAGTGACACTGCCCTCTACAGCTAAGATGCTGAACAACAGCACAACCTGGGGTTGGGTTGCCGAAGAGTCGCCGGCGCCGGCATAGGCTGCAGCCCCTGTGGCAGTGGATTGCTATGGGCTACCGTATGTAGCCAGCAGCCAGCATGCGCGGCCAGCAGCCACAGCGAGCGGCAGTCCAGAAGCCCGCGACTGATCTGCCTCGCTTGGGAAGAGCGCAATGATGGTTCCCACTTGGGCCAGTGAAGCAACGTCCTCCACAACTAGACTGAAGAACAAAAGGACTGCAACTTGTCTGTTCCCCTTCCCCAATTCCCCAGCACTGTTCCCATCCCCCAAATTCCCCAATAAAAATCTTAAAAAAAAAGAATCAAAGGGAAGTAGATAAGGTAAGGGGCATCTGTAAGGAAACTAAAATGCAGAAAAGGGTGAAAAGAGATTGCTGCCTCTGTGCCCCCTGCTTCCGTTCAGTAGATCTGGGTGGGTCCTGATAATTACATTTCTAATAAGTTCCACTGGACTAAGAGATGGCAACATAGAATGGCTACTTGGTGTAGTGAAAATGACATGGGTTTTGAGGTCTGTCAAAATCTGATTCTGACTCTGCCCTTTGCAGGCTGTGTGTAGCAATAGCTGACATACTTTAATCCTGCTCATCCTGTTTCAATATTGATAAAATAAAAGTAATGCACACCTCATAAGTGTATTGTGAAGGTTGAATGATATGATTCAATATCTAACGCAGCACGGGCCTTAGTTAAGGTCTTTAATTAATGTCAATCCTCTTCCCTTTGATTTCCTCTAAGGATGTACCACATATTTGCCACCACTGGGTTTACAATGACAGAATTTAGTCATCCACAGGTCAAATCATTGCCTCCAAACCTAACAAATCATCCTACTAACAGAATCTCTTTTGTTCATCCATTAAACTGGGGATAATAGTATGATAGTATCTCCTTTGATATAATAGATAATAGTATCTACTTTGCACAGATGCACCCATGAGGATTAAACAAGATATGTGAAGCGCTTAATACAGTAACTAGCATATGGAAGATACACAGTAAATGACAGTTTCCTGTCCTCTTCCCTTCAATTGGGTATTTAACTATAGTATCTCCTAGACCAAGTTCAAAAGCTCACCTAGTCTAGAATACTTCAAATCAATCTTTCCACCTTAATCAGATTGTTCCCTTCTGTGTCACATTTAATTTGAAGTCGATCATTATTTAAGTACTGGTGAGGATGCACTCTATATAAACTATTTTACTGGATGTTCAAGGAGCTAAGTAGAAGACTGTTCCCTGACCTTGAGGTACTTGGTTAAGATGATAATATACATAAAAAGTTGAATAGGAATAAAAGGCAGGGTGGAACAAATTATACAGAAAGTGTGGTAGGAGTTTTTAGATTATAATGGCTGATCTGTGATTATTTTGTACTCAGGAACTACAGAATTACTAAGTGTTACAAGAGGGATCTGCTTTTATGGCTGAGAAAATTGTCCAGAGATCTAAGTGTTTTAGGAGCACAGCTCTGGAGTGGCAGAGGTTTCCTGGCTCCTGGTCCCATGCTGCTGGTAGATGTTTCTATTTTCAAGCATTTTAATCAGTTTATGTTAGCTCCTTCTCTATAGGCAGTTTCGTGTAGCTAGTTAGGCACTGGGTTCTGAACCCAAAGTGTTTGGGTTGGAATCCTGGCTTTGCCAGTTACTATCTCTGACTTTGAGCAAGTCACTTATCTCTATGCTTCAGTTCCCCAATCTATTAAATGAGTAGAATAGTAGCACCTTATTTCATAGGGTTGTTGTAAGGATTAAATAATATATGTAAAGCAATAAAAACTGTGGTTTTGTCATAATTTTTTAAAAAAGATTTTATTGGGGAATTGGGGGAGGGGAACAGCATTGGGGAATCAGGAAAGGGGATCAGACGAGTTGCTGTCCTTTTGTTCTGTCTAGTTGTGGAGGACGTCGCTTCATTGGCCCATGTTGATATCATTGTGCTCTTCTTGGGTGAGGCAGTTACTTGCTGGCCATTGGATGGCTGCTTAGGCTGCCGGCCGCTCACGCTGGCTGCCAGCCACTCACGGTGGCTCATGGCAGCCCACTGCAGCAGGGGCTGAAGCCTATGCCATCGCTGGTGACTCACAGGATCCCAGCTCCAGGTCGAGCTGCTGTCACCATCTTAGCTGTAGAGGGCGCAGCGTCACTGGCCCTCATGTGGGATCCAAACCAGGGCCCTGCTGCTCAGAGCTGGCGTCCCCAGCCAACTCTTAACCAATGCGCCACTCGGCTGGCCCCATTATAATTGTTTAACAACAATTATATTCTCTCTCTGAGAGAATGGAAGGCAAAAGTCTATAATTTTTTAATGTTTTTTTTTTCTTCTTCTTTATAACTGCCTCCCTCAGATTCTGATCAAAGCATCCAGGTGGGTGCTCAATAAATACCTTAATCTTATTGGATAAAACCAAGTTTTTATATCTCAGAAGTGAGATTTGTCATTTGTTTAAGCCTGGCCTCGTCTGGTAATAGGACAGTCTAGAAAAGTAAAAACTGAGATAGCAACAGATTCTAGGACCCAAAAGAGCTTCTTTAAAAAAGTGTCAAGATCAATAGATGCAGAGAAACATGGAGGTCAGTGAATCTAATTCTAAGCAAGCTTGCCCATCTATTTTTAGATCTATTGCAAACTTCCTTAGGCAAAATCTAGCCTTTTAAGGGAAGTGCAGAGAACATGCCTCCCTGGGTGTGCTTTCAGGGCTGTTTTAGCAGGTGCTGGGTTCTGCCCTGGAGGTGGCTGCGTGAATTTGTGAACTGAGGTGACAACATTGACTTCTTTCAGAAGAAAAGATGCTGTCTTTACATAAGAAGTTTAACTACAACGGCAGTACTTGAAACAAGAAGAAACAGGAGAGGAGGGAGAAGGAAAAGAGGGGAGAGAAAAAGAGGAGGAAGGAAGAAGTAGCAGCAATGCTGCTGCCAGCCCAGACACACAGCTCAGTTCAATATTCAGATTAGAGAAAGCAAGCACCATTTTTTGCTGGAGCACACTTCTCTGCTCTCCTCAAATGCCTGCCAAAACAATTCTGGGACGAATCACAAGCTAAGGGGACTGTTGCAAAACTAGGGATAAAGGAGAGCGGGTAGAGGTGAGAAATAACCTATATTCAGGAGTTAGAAAAATCATGGGGTGGGGAATGGGCAGAGATTTGGCACTACCTTCATTCAGCATCATCTATCAGGAAATCCAGGAATGGAGAAGTAATAACCAAGACAGGAAATCTTGAAGTGTAAAAGAAGTAACAGAAGGTCAGCATAGGGCTCCTGTATGAGAGGATTCGTGAAGGTCAGGCCCACCCACAGCACCAGCAAAGGTGGAAAAATTAAGGGTCACCATCGGAAGACGAGCCCCAATGTTAGGGGTCTGAGCCAAGGGGTTAGATCTTCGGGTACCGCAGTATCTGTCTTGCACACGCCCTTTAAATTTCTCGGTTTGAGTCTCGCCTGTAGGTTCTCAGATGAGACACCGTGTTATTAAGCGTTTTCACAGCGCCTAGCTCAGAGCCGATGGCTCAACCGGTTCTCAGCAACATCTGGGAGCAAAAGAGGTTTTTGAGGTTGGGGGCGGAAGGTCCCTGATTTTATTTATGTTAGGGTGTGGCCTCGTATCAACTGCCAGCAAAGATTTCCCGGTCACCCTCTGTCTTCCACCTTCTGCCCAGGTGACGTCGTTAAGTCCCGCAGGACCGGCTAGAGGCTAAACTGTTAAGCCGCGTCCTTCAGGTGTCAGCCTCGATTCGTTTGGAAACCACAAACCCCAGAATCCCTTGTGCAAGGAGATCAAGCCGCAAATAAGATGGCTCCAGAAGGGTGGGACATGCAGCAGGGTGGAAACCCTAGTCCCTGGCAGTTTCTTTACCGGATGTGTTTAAATACCAAATCCCCACAAATGCACTACCCCACTAACCACCTTCGAGGCCAAAGAGGCCACCGCCACCGCCTCGCTGGCTTCTCCAGGGGCATCCTGGGAGTTGTAGTTCACCCGCTGGACTGCACCGAACTATCTATCCCTTGGCGCCCTGCGAGTCGGGCGATTTCAACGTTCTTTTCTAAAACTCTCTCTGCACTGACACCCCCTTGCCCCGGTCCCCTTCTCTCCGACGGCCCCTTCCCATCTGTCGCGACCGAGCGGCGGGCCGCAGGAGGGCCCCAGCCCGTCGCCGCGCCGCTCCTAGAGGCACTTCCGGCGGCGGGTCACTTCCTGGTTGGGTGGATGGAGCCGGGCGGGAGCGCGCGCGGGGGAGGGGCGGCGGGTCAGTCTCCTCCGGGCGCTCCGGGGATCAGCTGGCGGGCGGGCGGCCCCGGCTCTCGCTGCAGCGCCGCCTCCTCTCCGTGTCGCAGGCCGGCCCCGCGGCCGTGACAATGTTGCGGGGCTGGTAGCTGGGCGCCGGCCGCCGAGCCATCTCAAGTGGGTGCTGCCGGGATGCTGCCTCGCGGGGCGGCAGGGACACCAGGGAAGAGGGGGAAGCAGTGCTCGGTTGGGTCGGCATTGCCCACGGCGGCCCGAATCCCTCTTTTTTTCTGAGCCCTGGGCACGGGGTCCTGGGTTTGGGGGCCGGGGACACGTTTTCAGCCCCAAGGTTTTCCTCGTTAAGAAAACGCATGAAGCGTTTCCCTAGGATGATGGCTTTTGCTTCCTCTGGGACTCAGCAGTTGAATTTTTAACTGTGTTACTGATTCATCCTCTCTCTCTTCCTCTGTCATCACAGGTTTAAACTTACACGAATCGCTCTCTTGAGGAGGAGGGGACCGCCGCGCGATTGACACGCATATTCCTGTAGGCATCCTCCCTCAGCCCCCACCCCCACGGCCCGATTCGGGTGGCTCCTCTCCGAGCTGAAATCCGAGAACAAATCCTTGGATCTCTTGTTTTCTTTTAAAAAAAATTCTAGAAGCTGTCGGTATTTTGCTTTACTGCTTCCTATTCACAAGATGAAGAAGTTTTTCGACTCCCGGCGAGAGCAGGGCGGCTCTGGCCTGGGCTCCGGCTCCAGCGGAGGAGGGGGCAGCACCTCGGGCCTGGGCAGTGGCTACATCGGAAGGGTCTTTGGCATTGGGCGACAGCAGGTCACTGTGGACGAGGTGTTGGCGGAAGGTACGGTAGAACTCGTTCAGTGCGCTGTAAATGAAAATCTTGGGCTGATGCGGCAAGATTCTGGTTCCAGTTGCTGAATGTATGAATGGATTTTGACCAGTTGACCCTCCCTTCCCCCTTCCCTTGCCCTGTGAATCACTGTCCTTGAGAAATTTAAAACAGATGTGAAAGTGACAGGGTTTATGGGGTGGAGGAAGGTTGCCCAAAATTGTTTATCTCAGTGGCTTTTTATTATTTTAAAAAACATTGACAAGCCAAATCTTGTGTGCCTCACTGAATTATGAGGAACTGATGAGAAAACCTATGTGTGAAAGTGTAAAGCCTCACATCAAATGAGGGTAGTGGGCTTGTCATCCTCCTAAAACTTGAAATAATAGATGTGAGGGCTGGAGAGAGAAGGGTTTCTCCTTCTCTCCTACCCAACTTTCCCACTGCCAAGAGCAGGCATTGGAAGGAAGACAGGATTTTCACAGAATGGGAATGTTTTTTTAAGAGCCAAGGCTCTTGGTGGATTTGACTAGGTTTGTTTCCTGACCCAACCGTAATCAGGTCTCCAGGATGTAGCTAAGATAACAGAAATTACATGAAATGAATGTGGTTATTTTGAAATCAGTCCAGTAGGCCCCTCTTCCTCCTGTTTTAGTTATCCCCCCCCCCCTCAGGAAGAATTACTTGTGAGTAGCATCTGATTTTTGCTTTTCCTCTATTGGAGAAGGTGTTATTTGGATCTGCTGTGTCTGCTGTGTAAATTCCATATCCATATCTAAATCTATTATCTTTATTCCCCAGGCTTTCTGGAAATCTTTGCATGTCTCTTTTCGTAACCTTAACCTCGACCTTCATAATTATGCCAGACTCATACTTTTCACAGCCCATTGCCTGCCTAGTGTGCTTTTATTTTTAATAAAAGCAGCAATTTTCTTGGCATGAAGCTATTCAAACTAATTGGATGGGGCCAGCCTGCTGTAGGTTGTGTTATCGGCTGAGAAGAGATGGGGGAAGGGGAAAGCCTCTATTACTGCAATATGGTGGTGGTGGGGGGAACAGTTTATTAGCTCGGGAAGGATCCTTTTTGCAAGCCAAGGTTGAAACAAGATTTCCAACCTGGGCCTGGGAAATGCCGGCCATGGTGAGTCTTGCAGGCAGGTCAGTTGGGAAGAGGAAGAAGCTGTGTTTGGCTCTCAGCTTGTCTAAACAGTGGATTCAGCTGGGCCCACTTTTCTGGGGTTAGGGTTGAAGCCGATACTTTAAAGACACTGTTTTTAAAAAGGTCTCACAATGCCCTTGTGAAATTGTTGCTTGTTTCCATTCTCAGTACTGCTCTAGCTAGACTTAATCTGGGGCCTGAGTCACTGTCCCTCTGGATCTTTCCTTGTGGGCTTTGGTGCAGGATGGGGGGTGCTTCTGTGCCTGCTGCCAGATCCGCACCCTTGATTCTGATTTGGCTCTTTCATCCCTGTGCCAACCCTTGACTGCAGTGGGATGGAGAAATGGAGGAGTGTGTGAGAGAGAAATCAGGAGAAATGATGGGACGCAGAGCTCTTTGCTTCTCTCTGAATGGCCACTGCTGACCTTATATAGCCCAGGAGCATTTTGTTCAACGAGGGTATTCTCTCATTGTAGATGGTGCAGCCCTAAGCAGTGCCTGTTCTCAGAGTCTGAGTGATGGGGATGAGAAAAGGCAAAGTTGGTTTTTGTTATTTAGGCTGCCCTCCTCTTCCCCAGAATTCATTCCTGAGAATTATATTTTTAAGTGGAATGTAGGGCTTGCAGCTCTGTATTCATTCATACATTTGTACATTCAACAGCCAGTTATGGAGTGTTTATCATGTGCCAGGCACTGTGCTAGGCTCTGGGGATATGATCTAGAACTAGAAGCTGGAGTTTACAAATTACTTTGAGAGATGGAAAATAGCCAGTAAGAATAGAGTGATATGTGTAATCATGGAGATAAACTTAGGGTGGCCCCCAATTTCAGATAGCCAAGAATTGCTGTCTGCAGGGAGTGACTGACTAAAGAATGAGTAGGAGTTATCCAGGTATGGTGACATCATGGACAAGGACTCAGTAACAAGACAGCCTCACATAAAACTGGGTCTGGCAAGGTTGCCCTCTTTATGTTCTTTGCCTAGAATTGAGTTTGGATTTGTGGCTATTAGAAGTATGTGGCTATGTAGGAGCCAGTGCACGAAGTATTTATGTAGCAAAAAGTGACAATTTAATTTCTTCGTTCCCAGTTTAGATGCCTTTTATTTCTTGCTCTTGCCTGATTGCTCTGGTTAGGCCTTCCAGTACTGTGTTGAATAGGAGTGGTGAGAACGGGCATCCTTGTCTTGTTTCTGATCTTACAGGAAAGGCTTTCAGTTTTTCACCATTAAGTATATCAGCTGAGGGTTTCAAACACAGACCCTATTACCACCAAATCCCACTGATCATCCCTTTTTCCCTAATGTGGATCTTGGTCTATGCTTTGTAGTGAGGAATAGCAAGAACCTCAAGGAGGGGTTGTTGGGGTAAGACAGGAGAATGCTTGGACTCTCCCCATCCGCAGCATCAGCCCTGCTCACCTACTTTCACTAACTAGTTGAGCGGGGACTTTTTTGGGGGAAGTGAAGAGTCTAAGTCATGAGTTCATAGGGATATGGTTATATCTAGGCTGGGTGCAGGGGAGGATATTTTCTCTCTTGTTTCCTCAGCTAAGATGCCACAATGAGATGCTAGATCATGTCTGATGTAATGGGCACGTGATGTCAAGGGAAGATTTGGTGTAAGCTTTCGGAATGAGCTCAGTGGGAAAATGGGAGCAATGCTTAAAGAGGGACTGAAGCTGTGCTGTCATCATACCTCCTTAGCTATATGAGGCCTTACATCTAAGCTTTAAACAATAAATAATTGTTTGTTGAATACCTGCTGTGTCGAAGACAACATTCCAGAACTGCTTAAGTTCTATATAAGGTGGACTAGGTGGCCCTTCAGAACAACTTCTCACCTACACTAAAGGAATCCAGGTCTAGAGCTAATGAAACTACTGAGTAAGTCTCCACATCAGTAAACTTTGACAATTTCTCCTACCTACAGTGCAAAGTAGCAAGACTTAAAAATGTGTGTGAAACCACCCAAAAAAGACCCCCCCACACACACACAATATACATAAATGACATACAAGTATAACATGTTGGTGGTATCAGTATGATCAATATGATGCATACATGTATTCATTTAGTGTACGTTTGTTGGTGCCTTCTTTGTGGCAGGCACTGTATTAGGCTCCAAAGCTACCAGATGGATGGGACTTGGGGTCCTGCACTTACGGAGTTCATAGACCAACAAATGACCCAAAGATAAGTGTCCAGCACTTAGCATGACCCTTGGTGGATAAAAGATGGTGGTCAAAAGATGTTAAGAGATGATAAAGAGAAAGGGCCTGAGGGTGAGGGTTTGCAGATGAAGTGTGCTTTGAACAGGAATGGAAATTGCCCCGCAGATGTTCCAGATGAGGGCTACCCAAGGTCTTCCAAGCAGAGAGAATAGCATATGCAAAAGTACAGAGTGGTGAAAAAGAATGAGTTCTGAGAATACTGAGTAGTTTGGTGTTATTTTGGTTAGTGCAAGTTTCCCTTCCAGAATCAAGGAAAGAAGGACATGGAATGAATGGTAGAAGGAAATTCTTGTACAATTTGCTCCCTGGCTGTGCTTACTGCTCAGTTTCTTCAGTGGCCCTGGGCCTTTTGAGTAACTGTTGAGTCGGTATCCAGTATGTACTGTTCCCCTCTGGGCCTCGCCTCGTTGTGGGGCAACGGAGTGGCTAGTGTCTGGGGAAGGAGTGGTCCTGAAGGTTCAAAGAGAAGCAAGAAGCTTGAAGCAGGTGGGGCAGTGATATGACCAGTGTCACAGAAAGGAGTCAGGGGAGACAATGAGGATGTTGGATCAGAGCAGGAGGTATGTTGGAGAAAAAAGAAAAGCAAGTAAGATTATGGGGAGCCTTAGTGCCAGGCAGAGAGGTTAGTTATAAGCACCTGATGTCTTCTCTTGACACAAACACCAATTTGATCCCTCCCACTTCAGATGACTTTGCCTGCTGGGAAGTCTGGTTTTTTTAGTGGCAACTGCAGATTTTCAGGGGGTGGTTTGTGAATGGTGTCTTCTTCCTGGCTTCGGGCATGATGACGGTTATAGCTTTGCTAAATATAGCCAAATCTAGAATTCAGAAATGAAATCCATAATAAGCAATTGCATGGTCAGAGTCTTGCCTTTAGTCTTTCTAAGTCATGCTCGTTTATCAAGAGAGGAAGAGAGGGAAAGAGTTTTACATGGGTTTTGAGTGGGAGGGTATGGGGGAGGCATACACTTGTACCTCAGTAGCAAAAGCTGCATGTAGAGTACACAGGAAAAGCTTGATAAATATTAATAAAGTGCACATGAAAAAAGATGACTGCACCAGAGCAGTCATTTTAACTTCCAGTATTTGAAAGTTGACACTTCAGAAAGGGGACTAACGCCACTGTCTACCTTCATCTTGTACTCTTCAAAGGCTAAGTGCTTTCTGAGCCTGCTCCTGCTTAAGAAATAGCTGACATCTGCATCTGAAAGAGCCAAACAATAATATTATAATAATAGAAATGGTATTGTCTGCTGCAGTAGCATCAAACACTTTGAAACGGCTAAGAGTAACACTCAGTTTACTTTTCTGGAACCATCTTTTGGTGCAGTGGAAGGAGCACTGCAGTACAAATTGGGAGATCAAGGTGTGTTGGTTCATTCATTGCCATATTCCGTAACTGTTATTGAGCACTCACTGTGTGCTGGACATCGTGCAATGGTAAGTAAGACATGGCTCTGCCTTGAGCTCATGGTTATAGAACTTGAGGCACATGAGCAAATAACTCTAAGGATGTGAAAGGGGCTAGAGGAACACACATGAGAAGCAATTAATTTTATGGAGAGAGGAGTAATCAGGGAAAGCTAAAGAAAGGTAATATTTGAGGTATGTCTTCAAAAAT